AGATAGATAGATAGATAGATAGATAGATAGATAGATAGATAGATAGAAGGATGTGCTCTTTAATGCAGGGGTCTCCAACCTTGGCAACTATAAGACCTGTGGACTTCAAAGCTGGCTGAGGAATTCTGGGAATTGAAGTCCACAAGTCTTAAAGTTGCCAAGGTTGGAGACCCCTGCTCTAATGGATAAGATTAACATCCGCCACCAAATTCCAAGGTTTAAATACTACTGGTTGTTCCGTACAGAAGGGTTACTCTAACTAATCTCAAATAATACAATAATAGAGTATAAGAAGAAGTTTTGTAATGTACATATAGGACCATGAAGTATCTATTGGGCTTTTCTGGAGAGCAGTTTTTTTTTTTTAATAATTTCTGAATGTATTATATTTACGCTGGTGTTCTACGTAATCAGTTTTCCTGCTTAGCAACAGAAATGTCATAAGAGGAGAATTACTTGTATATGCCTGTCATAGAGGCTTGACTACCATGCGTCTGAAAACAGGCAGAGGTCAAAAGCCCTTAAACTGACTGGAAATGCCAGAAGAAATGCATTCCCCCCACCCCCTTGCATTCCCTATGAGCAACGTCAGCAAAACTTAAAAGCTTACCCAGCAGAAAGGTGAAGATGAATTGCAGGGCTGACCTTTTGTTTAAATAATCTATGGCTATTAATCATAGTCGGTATGTGCTTGAAATATTTCAGTGGTTTATGAACAACTAAGTGGAATTGAGGCTCATGCAACTTCTCACTATGTTTCATTTATTTTCAGGAAGTTAGTTCAGTCACGCAGATGCTATTTCTATCATTTGATCTAGCTGGGCTTAGGTTGACCTTTTTTTTTTGGTCACTGCTTTTCATCATCGGTTGCAAAATACAAGGAATGGTTTGGGAATCTCTGTGATATTGGCAGAACTAGAACACCATCGTCAAAAAGGCCATGAGAACATACCAAGGATGTGATCTTAAAACAATCCGAGGAGTGATCATTTCTGTTAGATCAAAGAATTCTAAATGTAGCCCAGCAGCACTGCTGTAATTTAGGCAGAGCTTCCTGAGACTCTCAACTTTGAAAATGCAACTATGGAGATTAATTAAAATGTTCTGTCTGTTTAGAAAGGTCAACACTGTAGCTATGTAATGCACCAAAATAATGTTTTGAAAGTCTTTAGGGGTAACTTCAGGGCTCCTTAGAATCTTTTCAGGGGTTCTTTAGTAATGCATTAGTTATTTAGAAAATGTACAATATATTCTATGTTTGAACATATTTTAAAGAAGACTAATAATAGATTATGGCCTCTGGCATACTATAACCATAGGAATTGCAAGCCACCCCAGCAGAGAATAAATCAGTCTGCATTGTTCACAAGCCTTAGGCTGGAAGTCTCAGGCACAAGTGGGAATCAGCTTCCCCAACTAAGAATAATGAAGAAACCAAATTCTAGAGACACATGCACAAATACACATTGCTACTGAAGTAGAAGTATCAAGGAAGGGACATCCCAGTTTGCAAAAGCTTCTTAGTAGCTTGGTCTTTTTGGCAGTTTCTAAAGGCTTAATGCTAGATTACAGGTGGCTTATTTATTTTATTTATTTATTTTATTTCTGCATCGCCCATTTCATTTAAGTGACTGTGAGCTTTACAACATCACAATGAAAACACATAGAATAAACGTATAGATTAAAAACAGGATTAAGAACAATGTAAACCTTACAGTTAAAAATACAAATCAAAGTTAAAAATTGAAAAGGTTAAACGATTAGCAAGGCAGGAAGAGTTTTCTCAAGCCAGCAGTCATTCGCAAGACTGTATCAAGGCTACGTCAGGTCTTAATACTCATCCAGAAATAGCAATAGCAATAGTACTTAGACTTATATACCACTCCATGGTGCTTTACAGCATATTGCCCCCAACAATCTGGGTCCTCGTTTTACTGACCTCGGAAGGATGGAAGGCTGAGTCAATCTTGAGCCCTCCGGATCAAACTCCAGGCTGTGAGTAGAGTTAGCCTGCAATACTGCATTCTAACCATTGTGCCACCACAGCTCTACGCCATCATGGAAAACCAGAAGAGTGGGGATTATCCTCACATCTGGGAGTAAGGTGTTCCAAAAGGCAGGGGTAGAACTCAGGAGGCCCTCTTCCTGAATCCGACCAGTTGAAATTCCTTGACTGATGGATTACACATGGATGCCGTCCATGCTTGATTGGTTGGAATGGGTCAGTATAATTGAGACAAGACAGTTCCTCAAATATTCCATGAAGGGCTTTAAAGGTAATGACCAATCCCTTGAATTGAACCTGGAAGCAAACTGGCACCCAGTACAACTCATGTAGCAGAAGTGTTACATGAGCCACACTAGGGGCACTCCAAAGTCCCACTGTTGCATTCTGTGCCAAATGCAACTTTCAAGGGGAGTCCAGTTGTCCAGCCAGGACACAAGTGGCTGAAATGAGAGCATCTCCAGTGAGGAAAGGACATTACTGGTACACAACTTGAAGTTGAACAAATGCCTTCCTAGCCATGACTACCCAATTGGGACAGTCTACCCAATTTCTTTGTGTGTGGTAAGACGATATAAAATGCATATACATAATATCAAACCACATAACACAGCCCTTGATCTCTTAATGGAAGCAAGAATATGCTTTCTTTTTGTGCTCTAGTTCATACAACCACAGTAGGAATTCAGAGTTCCTGCTGGCAGGAATAAGATACTACCTTTATTTCTATACCTGCTTATTTGACCATGGAAGGGAACCCAAGCTGATTTACCTCTTGCCATGATTCTTTTCACTTTTTCTAAGAAGTTGAGCCGCAGTGGTGCAGTGGTTAGAATGCAGTACTACAGGCTACTTCTGCTGATCACCAGCTGACAGCATTTTGGCAGTTCTGGTCTCACCAGGCTCAAGGTTGATTCAGCATTCCATTCTTCCGAGGTTGATAAAATGAGGACCCAGATTGTAGGGGGCAATAGGCTGACTCTGTAAACCGCTTAGAGAGGGCTATGAAGCACTGTTAAGCAATGTATAAGTCTAAGTGCTATTGCTATTGAGAAACTATTCATCTACCTCTATGTCTTGTCTTTTCTAGATTGGCACGCACATGATAGGTATGTTCCAGTTCAGGTGGAATGATTGTACAATTAAAGTACAATATTTCCTAGGAATTAAATAAAATAGTTGAAACCATGTTGTTGGCCTCTAGTTGTCCATGCTGTCTTCCATTGTGGCTTGGTTAGCAGATACAATCTATAAGATGTATTTAGTGCTTTTTATTGTCTGTTAAAAATAGAATGTGCTTCACCTTGTTTTAATTACTGGTACAAGCAATGGATTGTATTTTTATTATTCATCCAGACTTGCAATACTTCCCGCCCCTTTCATTTCCCTTAGTTAAATAAAGCTAGAACTTGTAACAACCATTGTGTATGTGTCTCATTGTCTTTGTCTCCATCCATACGTTATTTTCTCCATATCTCCAACTTTATTATTTTAATTTGAATTATTTTTCTTCTTTAGAAATTTATTATTTAATAGCAGCTTTTTAAAATCATGCAGTCTGCTACTGAAGCATCTCCTTCTGCCACAATATTATTTGTTAGATGAAGATTTTTTTTTACATAAGTACTTTGCAGCAATTTAGAGGAGTTTCGGGCCTGTCCTGTCTTAGGGGCTTTGGGCTTTGGGGTCTAAGCCAAGCATTATCATTTCATCTACACAATAATTGCAACAGTTAAATGTGACAGCAAATGGCATCTTTGCAACAGCAACTCTCACATTACTTTTCAAAATGACCAAGCAAAAATACCAGGTGAATTGAAAACATGGATGAGAGCAGGAGAAACTACAATTTTGCTTTTCTTGAAAATAAGTGGAGTCTCTTTGGAACTCACCATTCAGGATATTGATTAGATGAAGGGTCCGTTTCCCCCCCCCCCCCATTGACCAATAGAACATGTCAACTGGAAGATGAACATTAAATGCCTTATGGCAGGGGTGTCAAACTCGATTTCATTGAGGGCCGCATCAGGTTGTGTTTGACCTTGGGGGGGTGTGAGTGGATGTGACTGGGGTGGGCGTAGCCAGGGTGGGAATGGCCAGCTCAATGTCCTGCAGCTCTCTGCCAGTAAAAACGGAGTCTCTGAGCGACCTTCCCGGGCTCCATTTTTGCTGGCAGAGGCACTGCAGACCGGTCCTTCACTGTTTCCAGGGCAGCCCCGTGGACCAAATCTAAGCACCCTATGGGCCAGATCCAGCCCGCAGGCCTTGAGTTTGACATCCCTGCTTTATGGCATTTATGGTCAGGGGTGGGCTTCAAAAATTTTAGCAAACAGTTCTCTTCCCGGTGGCTGGGTTGTCATGGCCATAGTGGTCATGGCCTAGTTGGCCTCCTGCACCATGGCAGGGGGGCGTGTTTGGCCATCCCTGGGTTCCAGAGGCTTTCCTTGAGCCTCTGGAGGGCAAAAACAGCCTTCCAGGCTCCAGAGGCCCTCTGGAGGCCAGAAATGGGCCTGCTTCCAATTTTCCAGAGCCTCTGGGAGGCCGTTTTTTGCCCTCTCCAAGCGTCCACGCATCCAAAATGGCTGCGTGGAGACTCCTGGGAGGGGTAGGGTAGGGTGGGCAGGACCAGTTAGGAGTTGGATTTGCCAGTTCATCGAACCAGTCATTAAAAATGATAAAATTAGGTACCAGTTCGCCCAAACCAGGGCAAACCGGTAGCAGCCCACCACTATTTATGGTGTTTCCTCAGTTCCCAGCAGCTACAGTAGAACTTCAAACTGCTTTGGAGGAATAGCAGGGTGGAAATGGTGTAGAAAATTGCAAACCTGTCTACTTATATTCTGCTGTGTAGGTGGGGATAACAGAACAACAGACTTGGAAGGGACCTTGGAGATCTTTTAGTCCACTCCCTGATCAGGCAGGAAACCCTATACAATTAGAAACAAATGGCTGTCCAAGTTCTTCTTTAAAAAATCCAGTGTTGGAGCATCCATACTGGAGATTTTTAAGAAGAGATTGGGCAACCATTTTTCTGTCCAAAAGAACCACTAGGAACAGTAAGATGAGTTACTTGTTGAAGATCTTTTTTAAAAAAATGTGAAAGACAATAATTTAGCAAGGTTTACTAACCTTTAGGCTAGAAATCACTCTTAAACAACTAAGAATCTCCCTATACGAAAGGAAAAAAGTGAGAGTCCATGAAGAGTAAAGCAGAAATGAAAGAAATTCTTTTTGAACGCATCCTCGTTTCATTTTAGGATCAATCTAGATCTTTGTTCTGCATATACCATATATGGATCAATCTATTACTGATTAACCCCCTATGTTTACTTCCTCAGTCTGTTATGTCTCATTTCCAGATTAATCGATGCCTTTTAAAAATAAAAATGACAATTGAAATTTAAATATTATGATCCAAGGGTGGACAATATAGCATGGTCATTTCCTGGACTATTCCATTCCCCCTACTATGAAATGGGCTAATCTCAGAATTCCCAGGGTGCAACATTTTTGTGTACTGCCACAGCACAAATATGCCACTGTCAGTTCAAGGATGGGCAATGTATTTTTGTGGAACTCTCCATCTTCTCTAACATGTGGCTAGTAATGAGAATGTCACCTATTCTTATTGTGACTGAATGATCAGCTTGAATCTGCTATTGTATGAAGCAAACTGAAATCAGGTGTCTCAAGTTCTATGCACATATACGTTGGTATTTTGCATTGGAGAGTTTCACACTGTGGTTATATATTTTTAAATCCTTGGATAAATGTGATAGTGAGCAGTGCTTGGATGTAGGTCCTTCCTTGCCAATACTGCAGCATAGATAAGGAAAAACTGGAGGGAAAGCATTTGTACCATTCTGTGCAACCACATTTGGTACCTGAAATGGCATGCTATGAGATCTACTGCTTGGTGATATTTGAAACAAAGATGTATCATGCCAAGGGCAAAAGAAATGCACCAGGGAATTCACACTGTAGAGGACGAATGATCAAGGGAGATAAATAAAAGCATGACAGACACAACAGAAAAGATATCAGCGTGACAACATGCAGAAGTTTGATAGAAAGCACCAAAAACCAGCAGATTCTTTTGAATTACATGAGACAATTTGAGGCCATCTTAGTTGACAATGTGAGAGTTTCAAGGTGAGGAAAACTAAAAGAGGCATCTTTGTTTACAAATACTGAAATAAGCTGAACTCGCTGAATTCAATGTACAGAGAAGCAGGAACTTCTGCATGCAATACTGGCAAAGGCTATATTCTTGATTTGGGGCGCTTTTGATGTAAACCCAAGTGACATTCCATTGATCCTGATCATAAAACTGAATTAGAGAACAGAGCTAGAAAGAATTTGAAAAGAATTACTGGCATTACCCACACAGAAGCAGATCCTGTTTTTCATATTTTCTTTTCCCTTATAGGGAGTTCATATATTTAACCCCAGTATAATTTTGTTGCCGGAGTAAAGCTGCTCATCATTTTGATTAAGTAATTAACCTTAAACCATTTCAGGTATCTAGAAAGTCCTATGTCATAGATCTTATTTTTTAAATTACAACATTTTTTTATTCTGACTAGATAGTATTATTCCCCTGTAGGCAAATTTGTAATGCCTTCCATTTCTAGGAAGTTTGCATAGGGCATCATAATGTGTTTCTATGAAAAAATACATTTAATATCTGGACTATGCAGCTCTCAATATAAAAACTAGAACTGCGGCAAAGACCTGGATTCAACGGACAAAATGTGATTTGGAGATGCATGTCTGTGCCTGAGGTACTTGTGAATTCCCACAAAGTTGTGTTTCTTAAAAGGCACCTTTGTTTTTCTTGTCAGGTTCCCTTGCATGCTCCAGATCACATTTCTCCCTAACTCAAATATGCACAACGTGCTTCGATATATATCATTAAGGTGTTTGGTATGCAGTGTCAGAAAACAATCATTTTCACCAGTGCTAGTTTGCTGTTTTCAAGGAATTTGTATCAGCACTTGGATAACTAATGTTCATCTTCCCTCTGAAATATTATAACAAATGACACCATTAGTTAAGGTGATCTTTTTTTAAAAAAAAAGGTCCAAATTAATCAGCTTCTGCCTTTCTCCCCTTCTGATCAACCATGTAAAAACAAATACTTTTTGTGCTATATGAGTAGAACAAACAAAATTCAGTTCCACTCTGCCAATATGCTCCTAGAGATCATGCCCATACTAAAGCTAGTCTTCATCTTATAACCATCATCTAGCCCAGATTTATAATCATAAATTGTTGCGATTATAAATCAAGACATCACATGGTTGAAATTGCAACCATTTTTTTACAATAGTTAAGTGAACATAGTAATTGTTAAGTGAATGTAGCAGTCATCAAGCTAATCCATTTTCCTCAATGGGTGTTTTTTTTCCTGGAAACCAAAATGTAGGAAATTAGCAAAAAAAAGTCACAAATTGTTGTCACGTGACTGTGGAATACTGTAAAAAGCTGTAAAGATGAGCCAATTGCTAACACCCAAAATGCAATTATGTAACTATGGATGTGTGTGCTGTAACTCTGAAAATTGCTCAGGTGAGGTCTGTGGTAACGTCAAAAGGTTGTTCAGCAACCGGCCATAAGTCAAGGACTATGAATACATATTATTAAAAGGATTTATTTAGGAATATGCAATTGTATAACATGGTCATGACAATCAGGTAACAATTTTGATATACCGGAACCAAAGTTTAATCGCTGAACTCTTACAGTTTGTTGATTTATTTCTATGGGTAGCTACAGTAGATGCCAATACCATTTATCATAAAATCCAAAGTGCCTTTCAAAAGGCAACTGGGCTTTCTTGGTCTTTTCCTTGAAATGTTTTTGTTTTCATCCAAGAAGCTTCTTCAGAAGCTGGAGCATCTTTGGGACAATCAAGACCTGCTTGATTGAGAATCTCCATAGACATCTTCTGGATCACCACAGAGTAGGCAATTAAAGTCTGTCAGCAGGGGGAAAAAATTCCTAACATTTTAGGACTCTGGAAAACTGCTCTAACTAGAATCCTATCAATTTATCCCAAAATTTTGTTTTGATATTTTCATTTGATCTTCTTCAGATGGGAGATTTTTCGCAGTTCTGTCTGAATATGTTGAAGCTAAACTTGGGGTATTATACATATGAAGTATGTGCTTTATGAATGAGAGGTAGCCCTTCTGATTTTGGGCAGGAATTTACTTTGGGCTGAGAGAAATGGGTTTATTGTTTTAAGGAATAGACTGAAAAAATACCCCCCACACCCAAGTTCTTAACACTTCAGTTTTGATGCATAACAATGGATCAGGTACCATGTTTCTCCAACAATACAGCCTCCACCAATAGGAAGACCCAGCATGTTTT